AAAAAAATGGAAAAAAAAATTTATTCTTAAGTTTTAGGTGACATTTATGTCGTGCTGAGGATTGAACCCAGTGCCTCGTGTATGCTAGGCGAGCACTCTACCACTGAGCTACAACCCTAGCCCCTTTACATCACTTTTTATATACAGATAAGCTATGTAGGAACTATGGCTACAATCACTTTATGATGACTTCCTAAGTAATTCTCTGAGGAAGAATGAATAGAATTGGGTTATGTTGTCATTTAATTGAAGAAACTAAAGATTCTATAAAGTTAGGTGTTTCCTGTGTTATAAAGAATAAGCAAAAAAGCTAATAATGGAGTCACAAAAATACCCAAACTTACTTGCAAAATATGTGGTCACACTTTGTGGATACAGGTTCTTTGATCAATTCCAGACTAGAGGGGTAGGGGGAAAAAAAAAACAAGAGAAAATAAATAAGGCTTAATAATTTATTTAAAAATAAATAACTTTTAGTAAAGAAGTTCAACTTTAAGCAGTTATAACTGAGTCAAAGTATGATTTAAGTTCATTCAATTCTTATTAAATGTCTGCTATGCTAGGAGCTAAGAATACAGCAGAAAATATGATCCTTAACTTTACTGAACTTTCAGACATTAAAACAGAATTATGTGAACTTAATACTCTATATTTAATTGTTAGCACTGAAAAAAGATCAGCTGATAATTCTTTAATTAATTACTTTTCACTGATATATATTTCTGAGCTAATATGTTGAGTATGCATTTTACAACCTAATGAAACTCCATTAAAAACAAAAAAATTTCCTCTTACGTTACTTTCCCCTTATTCCTGGTTTCACTTTCTAAAGTCTTAAGTTACCAACAGACAATCATGGTCCCAAAATGTTAAATTAAAAATTCTAGAAATAAACAGTAAGTCTTAAATTGCATGCCATCCTGAGTAACACCATGAAATCACGCTTCATCCCTTCTGGACCTTGAATCATCTCTTTTCTTAGTGTATTCAGGTTGTATTTGCTACTTGTTGTTAGTCACTTAGTAAGAAGTCTTGTTTATTGTACTGAATGTCAGGGTATGAAAATGCTTGTGTTCAGGTAATCTTTATTTGATTTAATATGGCCCCAAAGCACAAGAATAGTGATGCTGGCAATTTGGATATACCAAAGTAAAGCATAAAATGCTTTAAGTGAAAAAATGAAAGTTTATCTTAGTTTATGTATGTGTAGAGGAAAAAACAGTGTATATATAGGGTTCAGTATATCCAGGCACCCACTAGGGATCTTGAAATGCATCCCACACAGATATGTATTTCTTTTGAATTCCCTCAAAATACTTTTTGGTATGTGATTGTTTTTGTAACTCAGTGTGGGAATTTTTGAGCATTTACACACACACACAAAAAAAATTGTAAAATAAACTCCAGGTACATCAACAGATTTCAACAAATGGCCAATCTTCTTTTATCCATACTTGCCTCTATCTTAGATTATTTTAAAACAAATCCCAGCCATCATATCATTTCCTCTATAAATATTTTAACTATATTCTCAAAAAAGACACTTTTTTAGCAAGATCATGAAACCATTATTAGTTCTAAAAAGAATTGCCTTAATATAATTTAATATATAACTAATGTTCCAAGTTGCTTTGCTGTCTCATAAAAATTATTTTAAATAGTAAGATATGTTTAAATCAGGACCCAAACAAGATTCATACATTGTATTTAGTTGCTATGTCTTAAGTCTCTCTCTTTTTGGTGGTATAGGGGCACTCTACCACTGAGCTACATACTTGGCCCCTTTACATTTTTTTTGAGACAAGTTCTTCCTAAATTGCCCAGGCTGACCTTGAATTTGTGATCCTCCTGCTTTCGGTATCCCAAACCACTGGGATTATAGGCTTGTACCACTGTGCTTATCCTTAAGTCTCTTTTAATCTATATTTTTCCCCTCCTGTTTTTCTTCCTTGTCATTTATGTCAAAAACATAACAAAAGGGCTGGGGTTGTGGCTCAGTGGTAGAGCACTTGTCTGGCATATGTGAGACACTGGGTTTGATTCTCAGCACCACATATAAATAAATAAAATCCATTGACAACTAAAAACAAACTTAAAAAAAAACAAGGGCTGGTGGTATAGCTCAGTGGTATAGCACTTGTCTAGCATGTAAGGCCCTGGGTTCAATCGTCAGCACACAAAAATAATAAATAAGCAAAAAGATCATCTGACCTTCAAAATTTCCCATATTCTGGATGTTGCTGATTGTAACTCTATGTTGTGATTTAACATGTTCTTTTAGCCTCTTTATTTTTTGTAAAGTATACCAATAAGCTCAATCAAAGTCAGATTCAATTGTTTGGCAAGAACACTTTACAGATGTACTGTGTACTTCTATTACATCACTTCGGAAGGGTCATGTTTGATTTTCCATTACTTGGTAAAAACAATGTGATATAGCTGAATGAGGCAGTGCATGCCCATAATCCCAGTGACTGGGGAGTTTGAGGTACAAAAATTGCAAGTTTGATGCCATCCTGGGAAACTTAATGAGATCCTTTCTTACATTTAAAAAAAAAAAAAGATCTGGGGGTAGAGCACCTCTGGGTTAAATTCCCAGCATTACACACAAAAAATCCCCAATGTAACTAATACTCACTAAAGGAAATTCCCATCCCTACCTGTCTATCCAAAAAATTTCAAGGCCTTTTTGAAATTAATTCATTAAGTAATACAACAAACATGTATTGAGCATCTACCAGGAAGGCACTGGTTTTGAAATATAACAGTGAACAAAATAAAGCCTCCCCTCATAAAGCTTATATTCCAGTTGCAGTAGGCAGTTGACAAATAAGAATAGATGGGGAAATGTTAAAGAGACAAATAAGGCAGGACAAAGGGGACACGGAGTGCAATGTGTGTGTAATGGGGGATACACACACACACACACACACACACACACACACAAATATGTTTTTGACAAATGACAAGGAAGAAAAACAGGAGGGGAAAAATCTATAGAAAAAGAGACTTAAGGCTAGGAAGAGTGGTATTAGGCCTATAATCTCAATGATTGGGATACATGGAGCAGGAGGATCATACACACAAACACACACAAACACACACACACACACACATATAGGTCATAAGAGGCCTAAGAAAGTGACAATGGAAGACAGCTGAATAATGTGATGAAATCAGCTATACAATAATTGTGGGTAGAATATTCCAGCAGAGGGAGCAAAGATAAACCCTGAACAAGATTATGCCTGGTGTTTATGCAGACAGCAGGTAGGCCAGGGTACTAGGATGAAATAGTAAAAGAAGTAGAGAGGTAGCTGGAAGCCTAAACAGGTAGGAATCTGTTAGTTATTTAGATTCGTACTGAATGAGAGCTTTAGAAACTGAACTTTGGTGGTCAAGTCTAGACAGGACATTAAAGAAGGGGTATAACCTGGTCATTTGAGAGGAATATGGTTCTTTTCATTAAATGTTTAACTTTTTAGAAAAGGATCACAAGAAAAGCTGGGGGGACAATAGCCTTGTTTTAAAGGGTTTGGTAATACAACTCTAGTAATCATGGGGTTTTTGACGCAGGACAGAGCAATGAAAAGAAAAGTACTGGCCAAAGTCAGAAGGTTAGGTTTCCACTATCAGTTCTCTCTTCATCTCTTTTTTGTCTTTATAGTACTGAGGGTTGAACCCAGGGCCTTTTACATGCTTGACAAATGCTCTACCATTGAGCTACATCCCTAAGCCCAGTTCTCTCTCTTTATTTTTAATCAGCACCATACCCTTGGGCCAAGTCCTCTACATGAATCTCAGTTTCCTTCTGTCACCTATCCTTCCAGTCTTCTGGGACTATTATGAAAATAAAATTTAACGTTACTTGGGCAACTGCTTCACAATATGAGATGACTTGTACCAAAGTCAGTATTATTATTGAGACCAAATGTGATTTTAAAAAGAAAAAAAAAAGAATGCCAATTTGTTACTAAATTACTAAAGCTAGATATGAAAGAAATTCTCAGTAAAAGAGAAAATTGGACTTAGCTATGATACCAGATGGCTTACATTCTCACCACTGACTCAATTCTGAAATAATTATATTTCAGTATGGTAATTATAATCCAAGCTATACAAACATACTGTAAACACAAACTCTGAACAGATGAAAACTCCAATATGTAAAAAGGTAATGACTACTGAAAGAAGAGCTTGAAGACCAAACAGGAGCAAAAAAGAAAAAAAATTTTAAATGTTCCCTGTCTCAGTCCTGATAAGAATAAATGTTTACTATAAAGGTGATTCAAATATTTTAAACTCGGGCTGCGGTTGTGGCTCAGTGGTGAAGTGCTTGCCTAGGAATGCATGAGGACCTAGGTTCAATTCTCTGCACCATATAAAAATGAAGATACTATGTCCACCTAAAACTAAAAAATAAATATTTTTTAAAAACTTAAAAAAATATATCTTAAACTCTTTCAAACCAGGCAATATTTGAGCCTAGGTTTAAAAAACAACAAACCACCAGGGTATTTTTTTTTTTTGTACAGTGCTGGGGATTGAACCCAGGAGTGTTTTAACAGAGCTACACCCTCAGCCACCACCACCCTTTTTTTTTGGCACCAGGGATTAAACTCAAGGTGTTTAAGCACTGAGCCACATCCCCAGCCCTATTTTGTATTTTATTTAGAGACAGGGTCTCACTGAGTTGCTTAGTGTCTCGCTTCTGTTGAGGCTGGCTTTGAACTCATGGATCCTCCTGCCTCAGCCTCCCAAGCCACTGGGATCACAGGCATGCACAACCATGCCCAGCTCTTCAGCCCTTTTTATTCTTTGAGACAATGTCTTGCTAAGTTGCCAGGGTAGCTTTGAACTTGGCATCGTCCTGTCTCAGCTTCCTGAGTAGTTAGGATTATAAGCTTGTGCCAGTGTGCCTGACAAGACTACACATTTTAGCAAATTCTTCTGAAAAGTCAAAACTTTTACATACTTACATGTAAAAAGTTAGAAAGAGTAACCAGTTATCACAAAAAACTGCCAACTGAATTGGGTATAGTATCAAAGGCCTATAATTACACATGGTGGAAGGGCTGATATGGAAGGACTATTTGAGCCTAGGAGTTCCAGACTAGAAAAAAAAAAAAAAGATATAACTGCAAATTGAACTATTGTACTATTCTGAGCACTGTGAAAAAAATAATGAAGTTGGGACCAGAGGCAGTAGTGACAGGTTTTCGTTTGTTTTGGTACAGGGGATTGAACCCTGGGACGCTTAACCACTGAGCCACATTTCCAGCCCTTTTTATATTTTATTTAGAGACAGGGTCTTACTAAGTTCCTTAGGCTGGCTTTGAACATGCCATCCTCCTGCCTCAGCCTCCTGTGCCTGTAGAATTACAGCTATGCACCACTGCACCCAGCAATAGTGCAAGTCTTTAATTCTAGCTACTCAGGGGCACTCAATAACTGAGCCACATCCCCAGGCCTATTTTGTATTTTATTTAGAGACAGGGTCACACTGAGTTGCTTAGTACCTTGCTTTTGCTGAGGCTGACTTTGACTCTAGATCCTCCTACCTCAGCTTCCATAGCCACTGGGATTACAGACTTGCCCAGTGCACCTGGCAATGTGTAAGTTTTTTTTTTTTTAGTTGTTGATGGACCTTTAATTAATTAATTTATTTATATGTGGTGTTGAGAATTGAACCTAGTGCCTCATATGTGCTACGCAAGCAGTCTACCACTAAGCTACAATCCCAGCTCACTGTGTAAGTTTTTAAATTGATGGTTTAACTTGCCAGAATGAGAAAGCACATTATATTTTTATGACTGCGTCCCATGAGCATGTAAAATAAATGGACCCAGATGCCACATTATTGAAAACTTTTTGATCACTATAATTATCATATATGTTTTGTGATTTTTTTTCAAAAGCAGCTGTCTCCCTACAATGTTATTTCCTGCTTTCCTGTTCTGATGTTTCATAAATTAGGCTGTAAATTTTATTTATCTATTGTTTTTGTCAAGCTGAAATGTTGAGAGGTAAAAGAATGATTACTTATAAATTTAGTTATTTCCCTGAAAACACAACTTGTATTTTCTTTAATCTTATTAACTTGACTCCAAATATGAAAAACAATTCTCATGAAGCATGAAAGCAAATTTACTTGAATTTTCCCTTCTTCATTGAGGGTAAAGGGCAAGAGGTACAACTTTTTACAAAATCTTTTTTATTTAGAGATAGGGTTTCGCTAAGTTGCTGAAGGTCTCACTGAATTGCTGAAGCTGGCTTTAAACTTGTAACCCTCTAGCCTGAGCCTCATGAGTTGCTGGGATTACAGGTGCTTGTCACCATGCCTGCCTTAATTTATGTTTTTGAGTGCTACCCACTACTAATCATCACTATATTTAAAAAAAATAATAATAATGGGGCTGAGGTTGGGGTATAGCTGAGTGGTAGAACATGTACTTAGCATTTAAGAAATCCTGGGTTCAATCACCAGCACCAAGAAAAAAATGAAAATAAACTATCAAAAACTCAATTTAGGGGTTGGGGATGTGGCTCAAGCGGTAGCTTGCTCGCCTGGCATGCGTCCTGACCGGGTTCGATCCTCAGCACCACATACAAACAAAGATATTGTGTCCGCCGAAAACTGAAAAATAAATATTAAAAAATTCTCTCTCTCTCTCTCTCTCTGTTTAAAAAAAAAAAAACTCAATTTAGCTTATCAATTAATTTAGCTTATTGAGTGGCTTCCATATCTTAAGGGCTATTCTAACTATTGAAGATAAATAATTAAGCAAACAAACAAAAACTTTTGTCCTCATAGAGTTTATATTTTGTAGGGAGATGAATAAATCATACATAACTCAGATAGTTACAGAGAAAAATAAAACATGAAAGGGGGATAAGGGGCATGTTGAGACATTATAATTTTAAATAGGATTGCCTGGAGATACTTTTTGAAAAGGTGTTATATGAAACAAGATTTTTAAGCCACACAATTATCAGGGGAAGGAAATTCTAGGCAGAGGGAACAAGAAATACAACAGTTCAGAGGCAGAATATGTCATATATGAAGAACAGTTAAAAAGCCAAAGTCTCAAGTCCAGAGAGGAGAGTGGCAATAATTCTAATTTTCCTTTTTTTTTTTTTTACCAAAAGGGTCTAAAATATGGATTCCCATCTATTTAGTAGATTTAAGAGAAACTAAATCTTAACCTTTGTTGTATCATGGACTCCTTCTCAGAGTAACACTTTAAGTTTTTTTAATTTACTTTTTCTGCAGAGATCAAATTCAGGGCCTAGAGTATGCTAGGCAAGTGCACTACCACTGACCAATACCCCCAGCCCTGAGTAATGCTTTTATGCCTAACGATACAAAATTATACAAAAATCTAACCTACAAGGGTCCTGGAGGGTCTACAAGAACTCCAGAATATACACAAAGAAACTTTATCAGATAATGGCAAAGTTTTTTTTTTAATATTTATTTTTTGTAGTTTTAGTTGGACACAATGACTTTATTTTATTTATTTACTTTTATGTGGTGCTGAGGATTGAACCCAGGGCCTTGCAAGTGTGAGGCAAGCGCTCTACCCCTGAGTCATAACCCCAGCCCCAGGTTCTATATCTTGATTGTACATTGATCCCAGTGCCTTCAGTGTGCTAGGTAAGTGCTCTACTGCTGAGCCACATTCCCCAACCCTAGATATATAATTTGTCAAAATTCACTGCCTTGCACACCTAACATCTCTACTGCACACCTAACATCTCTGTATTTTACTGTACGTAAATTTTACCTCAATTAAGAAAAAGAAAAAAAATTGAATAATCCAGCCCTCTCTTCATTTCATTTCATGGAGAGAAACAAAGACTCACTCAGAATCAGACCTTCTAAAAAGCTTCAAACACTTTCAGTTTTTTTTGTTTGTTTTGTAACACTGGGGATTGAATCCAGGGCTACTCCACCATTAAACTATATCCCCAGACCTTTTTATTTTTAATTTTCAGACAAGGTCTTGTAAGTTGCCCAGGCTGGCCCCAAACTTTGTGTGCTATGACACTTCAGTTACTTGAGGTTTTGTTATTTAAATTAACTGGGTCAATTTTCATCAAATATTATTCCAAAGATCAATCATCTCAGAGACACCAAGCATTTGTGATTTTATTTTTCTGTTAACTATGCCCATTCAAGCAATCAAGCTGACTTTAGAGCTGGAAGAAAAGCCTAAGTACCACTTAATCCAAAACAGATACCTGTTCCAATGCAGCACTAATCCAGACAGTCTGTAAACTGGAGAAAAAGGGAGCTGACTTAAGTACCCTGATCTTTTTTTTTTTTTAAATTGTCCATGGACCTTCATTTTATTTATTTATTTTTATGTGGTGCTGAGGATCAAACCCAGTGCCTCACACATGCCAGGCAAGTGCTCTACTACTGAGCCACAACCCCAGCCCAATCACCCTAATCTTAATAGATTTATTATATTTTTTCCTTCCTACTATGTATGGTCAATTCTTCTCATTTGCTTAAGAGATAATCATACAAGGAAGAATCACAAACTAATAAACTCTTCTGTTGACTTACCAAATTGGACACTCTAAGATTTTCTGCATAGCATTAAGGACATTTTGTACTTCTTCAACACGAACTGCAGATAAATCCATTTCTTTCTGTTCCATTGAACTTTAACACATAAAATACAAAACATAAATAAATAAACCTCTTTAGAAGGTTTACAAGAACAGCATCTTAAGTTCTAAATAAAAGAAAATTAAGACTGGAGTGCTTTATAATTATTTCAACCACAGACCAAATGACAAAGGTTTCATTCAAAAAAATTCTAGCAGTTGCTTTTTGTGATTAGACTATTTGAATTCTCAATTCACTCATACATAGCCTCCAACCCTTTCCTTTGGTCTTCTCCTTTTTCCAAGAAAAGGAAAGCCACTGTGGGTGACTGATTGGGTGTGGGGTGGTATTGTCAGCTTTCTCCATCATCCTGGCTGTTTTCTTTTTCTTGCTTGAAACCAAAAATAAGCAAGGCATGATAGCATGTACATGTAGCCTCAGGTCCTCTGGAAGCGGAGGCAGGGTCTGCCTGGGCAACAGGAGACTCCACCTCTTAACAAGCACCCCAAAACACCACCATCAATAAAACCAATACACGTCAACCCTTCCCTACTCCACCTCTTCCCCAGTGTTTCCCAGTGATCTGCATTCATTTCACAATACTCCACAAATGTCTCAGCCAGTTGCACCTGTTACTACTGATGTCCCCCAACATATACTTCCTTCTACTGCCATCTCAAAACGCATAAAATCCAGTTAGGTTTTTCATTTTGATATTAAGCATTGAACCCCAGGGATGCTTTACCATTGCGCTACATCCCCGGTCCTTTTTATTTATTCATTCCTTTGAGACAGGGTCTCGCTAAATTGCTGAAGCAGGCCTGAAACTTGCCATCCTCCTGCCTCAGCCTCCGAAATTGCTGGGATTACAGGAGTGGGCCACCGCATCCAGCTGGATCCAGTTCTTAAGGGTTCTTTTCCGCAAAATCCTGTCTGCTCCTCTTTGTAAAGATCCTCTCCTCACATTTACCAGCCAATATTCTTATACTCATGGTGTCCCCCTCAAGGCACATTCCAATTTCTAACACCAGGATTTTCCCTCCAACACATTGTGCCGCCTTCCTATTCTGAGAGCGCCCCTTCCAATCCACAAACTGTTCCCCTCCCAGGATTTCACTCAGATTCACACTGTCTTAGGCCCTTCAGGATCCGTCCGCGGCACCCTCTCCCGGAGCCGAATAACACCCGTCTTGCTCTCCTTTAGGGAACGCTATTCTCACACCAGCCTCCCGCCTGTCACCATGAATTCTCTTTGGACCCCTCTCCCGTCCCTAGGGCTCTTCCATCTTTACCCAGAGCAAAGCATCCAAGTTTCCCGGGCCCAGGGGCCCAGATATCTGAGAAAGCTCCGGGGATGGACTATCCAGAAAGTCTCGAAGAACTCACGGCGCGCAGTCGCAGTTTCAATTTATCTGTAATTCCCGCGCTTTCTGTCGCCAAGGAAACTGGCCTTTGCAGCCGAGCGACAGCCTCTCAGAATGCAAGATCAAGACACGTTGGCGGAAGGGCGGGGCATAAAAGGGTCGAGGGACTTTCGGGGCTCGGGATTGGTTAGCCATTCTTTCCCTGAATGACGTAATGAGCGAGAGACGGAAGAGAAAGAATTGAGTCTTCTATTACGCGCGCGCCAGCTTGCCTCTAAATTTCCAGCTGTGGGGTATTACGTCACAGTAATTACGGTACAAGTGTTGGAATAGTCATGTAAGACTCGAATAAGAGCGCAACATAGTACCCAAAGCAGTGGCAAGGAGGCTACATTGCCCCCCCAACCTTCCACTGCAATGGAAGTCTTCAGTTTAGATAAATAAGAGGATAGTGGGGTAGGAGGGGCTGCGACTTCCAGCATGCATTGCGGAACGAAAGGCCTTCGCTACAGTGTTTCTTGGAAACTGTAGTCTTAGGAAGAGGAGCTTCCGACACCGGAAGCGGACACAATTCTTAAGGCAACCCAGTCGGTAGATTGGAGACCTCTTCACGTTATGTACATCAACAGCTATGGATTGGAGTGTTGTGTTCTTCGCATCTTAAGAGCGGACACTGGACTAAACGTTAGAAAGACTACAATTCCCATCAGCCCTGCAAGTCTCTGGCAAGTAGTCCTCTAAGGTCAGTGAACTGAGGAAAAGCAGGAGTTACCCTCTCCGCCTAGGAAGGGGAAATTCGCCCAGTCCCACGTCTGCGCACCTATAGTTCCGCCCCTCCGGCCCAGTGTTTGTTATTGTTGTGAGGTTCAGGCTTGTCCTGCCCCGCCCCCGCCAACGCAGCTTCAACCAATCAGCAGGGTAATAATTTTGAGGGACAAATTGTCAGAGCCAATCATCTTTTTGGAAACTCAGAGAAACAGAGGACTAGGCCCTGTCTCTATCCGCCATGTTAGATTCACTCCGCAGGGATAACAGCAGGCCAAGCAGCGAACGGTCCTTGCACTGGCCTCCGGCAAGCGCCCCCCGGGGGCGGTGAGCTGGTAAGGAAGCAAATGCGGTTACCTTGGTGTGGGGTCACGTCGCACCAAGAGCGCTTAGGAAAGTTCAGAGGAGACTCCTGAAAAGAAGAGAGACTTTTTTCCGTGTCTAGGGCAGCCAATCTTTTTAGTGACCAGATGAGAGAGCCATTCGTGTTCTGAGGGATCGTGAGGGTGGATACCGCTGGAGGGATGGAGAGTCCGTGAATCAGAACGCTGGGTTTCTTCCGAAGGAAGACCGAGATTCTCCAGTTCAAAAGCTCCTAGGCAAAGAAAATGAGAGCCCTAAGGGAGTGGTGACACTGTCTTGGGGACATCGAGTACTAGGAAACGATAATTGGAAGACTAGGATTAAGACTGCAAGAAAGAAATGACATTACCCATACACCTTCCCCATTCCATCCTCCTTTTATTTTTTATTATTTTTTTTTGAGACCCTCTTAAACAGATCTTAAAGAGATCTCCTTGGTCTGAGACTTTTGGTATTGGAAAGTCACTCTTTCCTATTTATCAACTATCTAGTTTTCAGGTCACACATTTGAAAGCCTGGATAGCTTGCACAGGCTTCTGGTGAAGACAATAATCAAAGATTAGGTTCTCAGGTCGGTTTCATTAAAAGTATTTGTTGAAGCTGAAAAAAAATCTGCATAGAGGAAAAGCTGATTTGTGCCAAGTGAAGGTGAGTCAGTAGCATGAACTTATAACACCAATTATGAAAGCTGAAGTTCTAGGCCCAAGTTATCTGATTCTACTGGTTTAAAGTCTACAGGAACAAATAGAACTAACTATAGCTTTGGTATTTCCACAAGTTCAAGATTAATGCTCTTACTGAAAGAATTCTCAAATGTAAGCAAAAGAGATGAGCATGGATTTTTTTTGTGTGTGTGTGTGTGTGGTACTGTGGATGAATCCAGGGCCTGGCTCAAGCTAGACAAGACTCTACCACTAAGCTATGTCCCTAGCTCTTTATAAATTTTATTTTGAGACAGAGTCTTACTAAATTGTCCAGGCTAGCCTGGAACTTGGATCATCCTGCCTCAGGTTCCATGGTAGATGGGATTAAAGGCATGTGTCACCACATCCGGTGTTAGGCAGTTCTTTATGAAGACCTGGCTGTGGTCCAGTTGAATTAGAATCTCTGACTTCCTGTTTTCTGCTATTGGCAAACCAGCTGGGTGAGTTCCAGATTATCCAACTAATTCTAATTGTGTAATTTGAGAAAAGGGAAGGATACATTAGTTTCCTTCCAGATTCTCAAAAGGTGTAAAAGAATGTTTCTTTTCTTTTGGGGTTGGGTGGGGTACTGGGAATTGAACCCAGAGGTACTTTGCTACTGAGCTACATTCCCAGTTCTTTTTATTTTTGAGATAGGGCCTTGATAAGTTGCTTAGGGCCTAAGTCACTGAGGCTGTCCCAAAACTTGAGATCCTTCTGCCTCGGCATCCTGAATTGCTGGAATACAGGTATGTGCCACCATCCCTGGCGGGAAGAATGTTTTTAGAAGTTGGAAAGTGAGAATGTACTTTGGAATGTCACTTTTGGCAGACTGAATCAATCACTTCATTCCCCTCATTTTTTTCACAAAGTCCTGGGAATTTTATAGGAATTCTGACCAATCTTGAGGACTCCAAGAATTTTATGCAATGTGAATAAATGCTTGATGGCAGCAGGATTCGAGCTAGAGACTAGTATTATTTTGGCAGTGAACTGAACTTTAGGTGAAGACAAAGAACGGGAAAAAATTTATGGGTTTTTTAAAAAATCTGTAATCTTCAGAGAGTTCAAGATTCTCAGAATGATAATCTCAAGTGTATTGTTTCACAGGGCAGTGCTTTATACTATTTTAATGCCCTAAGGACTGGTTTACTATAATAATAATTTTGTATTTTAAATGTTTTCAAAGAACTTGCACACACTTTTTGTGTTTGTGCTGAGGAGTAAACCCATGCCTTTGCACATGCCAGCATCTCCCTACCATTAATCTATAATCCTAGCACCCCCTCATTTTTATTTAGTCCCTACAATAAAATTGTGAGATAGGCAAAGCAGAGATATTAGTCCTGTTACACAGATTAATTAACTAAAGCTCAGAGATGAACAGACTGTTCAGAATTAAATGACTCATGTTGTGCCAGAGCTATATCTAGAACCTAAGTCTTCCTACCCCTTCTTGGGAACTTCCAGGACTTATTCGCCTCATATCGCCTATATGCGGGACAGAATCTGAGTAGCTGCAGATTAAAAATGGGATGAGCTGGGCCTGGGCACATAGACCTGTAATCCCAGCCATTTAGGAGGCTGAGGAGGAGAATCACAAGTTTGAGGCCAGCCCCAGCAGCTTAGTGGGACAATAAGCAACTTAGCGAGAACCTGGCTCAAATTTAAATTAAGAGGGCTGGGATATGTATGTGTGTATAAACAACCATAATACCATTATTGTGTCTAAGAAGTTAACAGTTCCTTAATCTAGTATCTATTCTGGTTTAAAAAGATTTTTTTTTTTTTCCTTGAGACAGGGTCTTGCTAAATTTAAAAATTAAAAGGGCTGGGATATAGCTCAATGGTAAAGCACTCCTGGGCTAAATCTCCAGTACCAAAAAGATATACATATATATATATATATGGTTGTGTATATATGTACATATATGTATATACATATGTATACATGTGTGTATAAACAACCATGATACCATTATCATATCATTACAATTTCTTAATCTAGTATCTACTCTAGTCCCCCCCCAATTTTTTCTTGAGATAGGGTCTTGCTAAGTTGCCTAGGGCCTATAAAGTGCAGTCAGTCCTTAGAGATTTTACAAATGCTAGATGATTTCTGTGCATGTAGTCAAAATTTAAATACTGAGGGGCTGGGGATGTGGCTCAAG